AGAGAGAGAGAGAGAGAGAGAGAGAGAGAGAGAGAGAGAGAGAGAGAGAGAGAGAGAGAGAGAGAGAGAGAGAGAGAGAGAGAGAGAGAGAGAGAGAGAGAGAGAGAGAGAGAGAGAGAGAGAGAGAGAGAGAGAGAGAGAGAGAGAGAGAGAGAGAGAGAGAGAGAGAGAGAGAGAGAGAGAGAGAGAGAGAGAGAGAGAGAGAGAGAGAGAGAGAGAGAGAGAGAGAGAGAGAGAGAGAGAGAGAGAGAGAGAGAGAGAGAGAGAGAGAGAGAGAGAGAGAGAGAGAGAGAGAGAGAGAGAGAGAGAGAGAGAGAGAGAGAGAGAGAGAGAGAGAGAGAGAGAGAGAGAGAGAGAGAGAGAGAGAGAGAGAGAGAGAGAGAGAGAGAGAGAGAGAGAGAGAGAGAGAGAGAGAGAGAGAGAGAGAGAGAGAGAGAGAGAGAGAGAGAGAGAGAGAGAGAGAGAGAGAGAGAGAGAGAGAGAGAGAGAGAGAGAGAGAGAGAGAGAGAGAGAGAGAGAGAGAGAGAGAGAGAGAGAGAGAGAGAGAGAGAGAGAGAGAGAGAGAGAGAGAGAGAGAGAGAGAGAGAGAGAGAGAGAGAGAGAGAGAGAGAGAGAGAGAGAGAGAGAGAGAGAGAGAGAGAGAGAGAGAGAGAGAGAGAGAGAGAGAGAGAGAGAGAGAGAGAGAGAGAGAGAGAGAGAGAGAGAGAGAGAGAGAGAGAGAGAGAGAGAGAGAGAGAGAGAGAGAGAGAGAGAGAGAGAGAGAGAGAGAGAGAGAGAGAGAGAGAGAGAGAGAGAGAGAGAGAGAGAGAGAGAGAGAGAGAGAGAGAGAGAGAGAGAGAGAGAGAGAGAGAGAGAGAGAGAGAGAGAGAGAGAGAGAGAGAGAGAGAGAGAGAGAGAGAGAGAGAGAGAGAGAGAGAGAGAGAGAGAGAGAGAGAGAGAGAGAGAGAGAGAGAGAGAGAGAGAGAGAGAGAGAGAGAGAGAGAGAGAGAGAGAGAGAGAGAGAGAGAGAGAGAGAGAGAGAGAGAGAGAGAGAGAGAGAGAGAGAGAGAGAGAGAGAGAGAGAGAGAGAGAGAGAGAGAGAGAGAGAGAGAGAGAGAGAGAGAGAGAGAGAGAGAGAGAGAGAGAGAGAGAGAGAGAGAGAGAGAGAGAGAGAGAGAGAGAGAGAGAGAGAGAGAGAGAGAGAGAGAGAGAGAGAGAGAGAGAGAGAGAGAGAGAGAGAGAGAGAGAGAGAGAGAGAGAGAGAGAGAGAGAGAGAGAGAGAGAGAGAGAGAGAGAGAGAGAGAGAGAGAGAGAGAGAGAGAGAGAGAGAGAGAGAGAGAGAGAGAGAGAGAGAGAGAGAGAGAGAGAGAGAGAGAGAGAGAGAGAGAGAGAGAGAGAGAGAGAGAGAGAGAGAGAGAGAGAGAGAGAGAGAGAGAGAGAGAGAGAGAGAGAGAGAGAGAGAGAGAGAGAGAGAGAGAGAGAGAGAGAGAGAGAGAGAGAGAGAGAGAGAGAGAGAGAGAGAGAGAGAGAGAGAGAGAGAGAGAGAGAGAGAGAGAGAGAGAGAGAGAGAGAGAGAGAGATATATATATATATATATATATATATATATATATATATATATATATATATATATATACATATACATTTTTCTTTCTTTCTTTCTTCTGCAGTGTCTCTGTTTCCCAACAGTTTCCCCTTTGCCCTTCTGTTTGTCTCATCACTGTGCCCTTCCTTTTTTGTCTCCCCACAGTGTCTCCATGCAGTGCCTCCCCATAGTGTCTCCCTCTTTGCCCCCATATTATCTCTTTACAGTGTCTTCCCTCCCCCCCCCTCTTTATCTCCTTACTGTACCCCCCTGTTTTTGTCTCCCCACAGTACACCCCGTTTTTGTTTCCACAAAGTTCCCCTCTTTTTCTCCCAACATTACCTCCCAACGGTCTTTCCTTTTGCACCCCCCTCTCATCTCCCCACAGTCTGCCCTCTCATCTCCCCACAGTCTGCCCTTTCATCTCCCCACAGTCTCCCCTCTTATCTCCCCACAGTCTGCCCTCTTATCTCCCCACAGTCTGCCCTCTCATCTCCCCACAGTCTCCCTTTTTATTTGTGTCTCCCCTTTTATCTCCCCCACAGTGTCTTCCCTTTTGTCTTCCCCTTTTTATCTCTCCACTATGTCTTTCTTTTGTTCCTTCTTTTTCTGTCTCCTCTTTTGTCTCCCCGCGATGTCTCGTTATTGGTCTCCTGCTCCTCCCTTCACCTTCTCCTTTGTCCTTTTTCTCTTCCGATTTTAAGACCCATTTTTCAACCCTGAATCCTCACCCTTTGTCCTTTCCGTTGCGTTTCTTATCGTCTTCTCGGACTTGTTCTTCCTTTCCCTTCCCCTTCCATTTCTTTCCTTTTCCGTTTCCTTTCCCTTTCCCGTTTCTTTCCCTTCCCTTTCCTGTTCTTTCCTTCTCTTCCCTTCCCTTTTCTTTCCATTTCTGTTCACTTCCCTTCCTCGTCCCGTCATCCCCTCCTTTTCCCCCTTCCTCTTCCTCCTCCACATTCTCCTCACTCTCCTTATTCTCCTCCTCTCGCTCTCTCCTCCTCCTCCTCCTCCTCCTCCTCCTCCTCCTCCTCCTCCTCCTCCTCCTCCTCCTCCTCCTCCTCCTCCTCCTCTCCCCCCCTTCTCCTCTTCCTCCTCTCTTCCTTCCTCCCTCTCCCTTCCTCCCTCTCCCTTCCGCCTCCCCCCTTCCTCCCTCTCCCTTCCGCCTCCCCCCCTCCTCTTCCTCCTCCCTTTCTCCCCCTCCTCCTGCTCATCCTCTCCCCCCCCTCCTCTTGGGAACCTCTCCGTGCTCCGCCCCGCCCAGACCTCCGGAGTTTCTAGCACGCTCCCGTTCTTTTCCTGGCGGCCTTGTCCCTCTGTGGATCGTCCCGAGCTACTGCCGCCACACGCTACTCCTGCGGCTGTCGTCTCTTACTTTGCTTTCGTTTCCACCTTCACCGACTTCGGTGCGCTTTGCTTTGGTGGTTTACTGTCCCCTTACCCACCCCTTGTCCTCTTTCTCTTTCCACTCCATTTCCTCTTTCCAGTTTTACTATAGTAATAGTCACCATATCTCCCTCTTCCTCTTTGTCTTTTTCTCCCTCCTCCACCGTCTTTTCCTCTGTCTAGTACTCCTCTTCCAAATAGCCTTCCTTACTCCTCTTCCTCCTCCTCCCCCTTCTCTTTCTCCTCCTCCTTCTCTCTCCTTCTTCTTCTTCTTCTTTTTCTTCTTCTTCTTCTTCTTCTTCTTCTTTTCATTCTCCCCTTCTTCCTTTCCCTCTTCCTCTCCCTCGTTTCCTTCATTTATCCCAATCCCTCCTCCTCCACGTTTTTCATCCCCCCTTTTCCCTCCTCCACCGCCTCCTCCTCCTCGTTTTTCATCCCTCCCTTTCCCTCCTCCACCGCCTCCTCCTCGTTTAATTATCATCATCGCCAAGGGAATGGAGTCCCGTGTATGGAAAATTATGTTACGCGGCGCTATTGTGCTCGTAAGTAGACTGTCTTGTACCCCACCTTTCCTCCCTCTCCCCTTCCCTCTTTCCCTCTTCTCCCTTCCCCCCGCCCTTCTTCCACTCTTCATATCCTCCACATCCCTACCCCACCTTCCACCTCCTCTCCCCTCCCTTTCCCCACCTCCTTTGCCTCTTTCGCCTGCTCCTCTCCCTCCCCCCTCCACTCACTCCGTTTCCCCACCTCCCTTGCCTCTATCGCCTGCTCCTCTTGCCTCCCCTTGCCCTGCCTTGCCCCGCCCCGCCCCGCCCCGAGCTAGTCCCACGTCTCTCTCTCCCTATATATTGCGTTTGTGTCGAATGGCAACGGGGTCTGTTCTTCAGATGGTGTACATGCTCGTTCTTTATTTTCCCTTGTGTTCATGTGCGCGCGCGGGTGTGTGTGTGTGTGTGTGTGTGTGTGTGTGTGTGTGTGTGTGTGTGTGTGTGTGTGTGTGTGTGTGTGTGTGTGTGTGTGTGTGTGTGTGTGTGTGTGTGTGTGTGTGCGTGTGCTTCTTTGTGTGTGTGTGTGTGTGTGTGTGTGCGTGTGCTTCTTTGTGTGTGTGTGTGTGTGTGTGTGTGTGTTTTATCTTTTTATGGTCTCCTCTTCTCCTTTAAATCCTGCCTCCTCAGCTTGATATTTAGCCATGTTCTTCAGTAATTTTGATTATTTTTCTCTTGCTTGTTTTCCTTCAGTACTTCATTTTATCAGTGTTCCTCTTGTCGAATATTTCCATAATACCTTTTTATTGTTTTTTTTCTGTCTTCTCTTCTTCCTCTTCCTCATTCGAGAGAAAAATGGGGAGGAGACAAGGGGGAAAGAGGAAGGAGGCAAAGAGGGAGAAAGAGGAAGGGGGTTAACGAGTAAGAAAGAGGGAGGAGACAACGAGTGAGAAAGAGGGAGGTGACAACGAGCGAGAAAGAGGGAGGATACAACGAGTGAGAAAGAGGGAGGAGACAATGTGGGAGAAAGAGGGAGGGGAATGCCAAGGGGAAAGAGGAAGGAGGGAGCGAAGGAGAAAGAGGAAAGAGTTTAACGAAAGAGAAAGAGGGGGGAGACAACGAGGGAGAGAGAGGAAGGAAGTTAACGAGGGAGAAAGTGGGAGGAAACTAGGGAGAAAGAGGAAAGCAAAGGGAGGAACGGGGAGGAGGCAACGAGGGGGAGAGGGGGAGGAAGAAGATAGGCAGGTGGAGGATGGTTGGGAAGACAGGAAGGGGGATACGATTGGACGGAGTGGGGGGGGGGTTGGCAGGAGGGGGAGTGGCGGGCATTGGGAGGAGTAGCAGGTAAGGGAGGCGTGGGTGGAGAGGGGGGAAGGGGAGGTTGATTGGTTGGAGAGACAAGAGGGAGAAGAGGAGAGGCAGGGAGAGAGAATTGGAGGGACCATGGGGAGGGTGGTGGAAGGGCTAGCAGGAAGAGGGGAGAGGGGAGAGGACGGAGACTAGGGGCAGGTAGGAGGGGAAGGGAGAAGGGAGGGGAGGAGAGAGGAGGACGTGGGAGGGGATTGTCATTAAGGACAGGTCGCCGGGAACGTAGTTATAGCGACGCTGTGAGGCCGAGGCAAGTTTGATAAAGGGTTCGCAAGGGTGTGGCGATGGTGGGGTGGGGGGGAGTAGGTGGTTGTGCTTAGGGTTTGGTATTGGGGTGGGCTTGGGGCGTACGAGTGGGCTTGTTTAGGGTGCGCTAGTGTGGTAGACGTAGGGTAAGTTATTGTGCTGGACTCAGAGTGTGGTAGTGTTGCGAGCGAGGGATGTGGTATTGGAGTGGGCGTAGGGTGCGGTGATGAAGCTTAGGGTGTGTAATGGGGTAGACTTCGGGAACCGTAGCGGCGTAAGCTTAGGGCGTTATACTGCCATGAGCGTAGGATATAATTAGGGACTTACAGGGAAGCACTCGTGAGAAACGCTTATTAAGAATTTAGGGAGAAAAAAAAAGAGAGAAATCGAATGATTGACGAAAATCAGTGAGGTGCGGCGTTCCATGTGCGAGCGTTTTAATCATGCACAGATATCAAGTGGATGTTGTGAGGCGAGGGGAGGCGGTCATTGGGAGGGGGGGTGTGGGAGAAAAGGGAGAGGGGTAAGGGAAGGTCCTTTTAGGTGTGGGGGTAAGGGGGGGGGAGAAGGGGTTCGAGTGGAAGGACGTTTTCATCGCGCTGTCATACTCAAATAGAAGTGATGGACGGCCGAGTTGATGACAGTTCAGTATACGGGTAGTCAGTCAGTCAGTCAGTCAGGTCTTTATTCATTTTGGTCACTATCCTCACTACCCCGGCGCACATACGCACACACGCAAGGTACTTATATAGATAGTTTTTGCACACAAGCATGCATGCAAGTACACGTATATGTCTCCCCCTTTTTTATTTATTTTTTATCTATCTATTTATGTATTTTACCTCGTTCTGAAATAAAGGAGGAGAGGGACGAGGGAGAATAGCTGTTGCTTCTGCACGAAGTACATCTGCACGAAGTACATATTTGCTTGCACTCGAAATTACTGAGAGGGCGAGAGGGTCATGAGGAGGGGAGGGAAGGAAAGGGAGGGGGCTGGGTGGGAGAGGGAGGGGGAGGGGGCCGGGGAGTCGCCTGTTTGCTGTGCGCTGTCGGCCACAAAGGAGAGCGTGTTTGCATCACAGCGTTACCGGTTTCGAAGCTTATTTGCCAATAAATGAAGCCGTAGATCCGCGCGGGCTGCTTGTACGCTCCGGCCGTGTCTATATATTGGACCCCAAGTTTACTAACAAGTTAGTGTGTTTACACGAGCAATATTTACAGATATCCCCCCCACTCTCCTCTCCCCCTCCTTCTGTTTCATCTTCCCCTCTCTTCCCTCGTCTTCCCTTGTCTCACAACCAAATCTTTACTCTTCTTCTCTTCTTTCTCCCTCTCTCCTCTCCGTCCCCTTTGCTCTGCTCTCTTTTCACTTCCCTCCTTTTCACGCTTCTCCCCTCTCCTCATTTCCCTTTCCTTTTCTCTTCTCCTTCCCTCCCCTTCCCTGCCCTCTCTTTTTTTCTCCTCTTCCAATCCTTTCCCTCCACTCTCCATTCTTCTCCTTTAAACTTAAACAGATCCCTCCCACCCTTACCCTTCCCTTCCCTCCCCTCTATAACCTTTCCTTCCCCTCCCGTAAGCTTTTCTTCCCGTCCCCCCTACCCTTTGCTCCCCTCTCCTCCCCTACCCAACCCTTTCCTCCCCTCGCCTACCCTCCTCTACCCTACCCTACCCTCCTCTACCCTACCCTACCCTCCTCTACCCTATCCTACCCTCCTCTACCCTATCCTACCCTACCCTACCCTTTCCTTTCCTCTTCTCCCCTACCCTACCCTACCCTACCCTTTCCTTTCCTCTTCTCCCCTACCCAACCCTTTCCTGTCCTTCCCTTCCCTACTACCCTTTCCTCCCGTCCCTTACCCTGTGCTCCCCTCCCCTACCCTTTCCTCCCTTCTCCTATCCTTTCCTCCCTTCTCATGCACTTCCCTTTCCTCCCCCTTCCCTTTCCTCCTCCCTCCCCTTTCCTCCCCCCTCCCCCCTCGTATCCCTCCGGTAAGATAATGGTGTAGCCCAGTCTACCGGGTCGTATTTGCCTGCTGTTTACCTCCCGCGCAACCCTCCGCTAGTGTTTACCTGCCTCCGTCCGCCTTGGGTATTAATATTACGACACCGGAGGTAGGTTTAGCTAATTAAGGAAAATGTCTGCTCGTGAAAGCCGCGGTCCATTAGTCCCTCCCTTCGGTTGTGATTGGTTGTTTGTGTTTAGTCAGGCGGCGGCAGTTCGTTTGCTTTGCTTTTTTTTTTTTTTTTTTTTTTTTTTTTTTTTTAATGTTCATGTATTTTTGTTGTTATTGTTGTTGCACTTGTTTGGTTTCTATGTGTGATTTTTTTTTACTGTGTTGTTTTATGTCTTCGTTTCTGTGTTATGCTGTTGGGCTTTCGGGATTCTGCTCGTGGGGTTCTTTCAAATTTGTGGCTTGTGGTGGCCGTTCGTATCAGCGAGTGTGGTAGCGGGCTTTGTTCCGGTAATTAGGCCTATGTACATTTGTGTAATGATTTAATCGAGCGGACCGCCGTGATTATATATGATGCAGCATTATCCGACATTAGCCCGTCGATGGTGGCGAAATTATTGCAGCTGTCAACTTTGCCTAAACACATTCGTGCAGAAAGTTGCGAGGTCTATTGCATTCACTATGTTGCCCGGCGTACATTGCGATGTCATTACTCTGCAAAGCGTCTTTATATATGAAATGGCACTGATTCCTCAGATATAAATTGGACGGTTTACTTGATTATCTCAAACGCGCACGAGATATTGACAACAGTCGCGGATTTATGCATCAGACAAATTATTGACACGTGTCTACATAACAAAAAAAAGGTTAGAAAATGAGTGCTCGAATGTGACTTAACGCTGACGCTCTCAGTTGTCCTCATTAAGCGGACCAGAACTATTAACCTTTTTATCAAAGGTTTGCAAAGAGCAGCAGCGCTAACACCTTTTAAAGGTGCTCTCATGCAATCTGGTTGATCCTGTTGCATGAATGCACATTTTGATGTTGCCCGTATCTCACGAGATATTGAACTGTAATTTGGCCCCGGCTGACACAGGCCCTTCGCTCCAATTTGCAAAGGCTGTTTGCAATGATATTTCTGCCAATTTTACACGTGCCGTTCTCGTCAAGTAAATATCCACCCCCTCCTTCTGCTTTTATTGTTGATAAATGTATTGCGAGTTTCTGTCGGCCCCTTTGTTTCTTTTTTTTTACTTTACAAAAGAATTTTCGGAAGTGACGTGTGGTTTATTCACCGAAGAAAATTATGTTTATTCACTCAGTGGCGGAGTCTGCGCAGCGAGTGTGTTTGCGCAGAGGCCGACCGCGGAAATTTATTAGGCTCAGGTATACCCTCCTTTGCCCGGGGTCCATGCATGCTGCCATGGACTCGCTCGCAGTTGCATGTTCGGTTTGCATGTTTCGGGAGGGAGGTCGTGGGGGCTGGATATCGAGGAGGGTGTGAGGGAAAGGGTGGGGGTATGAGGGTAAGGATAAGGTTGAGGATGGGTGTATGAAGGTAAGGGTAAGGGTGAGGGTGAAGGTGGGAGTGGAAGTGTGAGGGTAAGGGTGAGGGTGGGAGTGTGAGGGTTAGGGTAAGGGTGGATGAGTGTAAGGATGAAGGTAAGGGTAATTATGAAGGTGGAGATGCAAGAGGTAGGATGAGGATCAAGGGGATATGAGGTAGCGGTAATTATAAGGTTGTGGGCGTGAGGATAAGGGAAAAGGTAGGAGTATAAGGGTAAGGGTAAAGATAAGAGTAGAGATATAAGGGCAAGGCAAAGGGTGGGAGGATGAGGGTTGAGGAGAGGATGAGGGTGGGGGTATAAAGGCAAGGGAAAAGGTAGGGATATGAGAGTAAAGGTAAGAATGAGGGTGGGGGTATAAGGGTAAAAGACAGGATGGGGATAGGGGGTATGTGGGTAAGGGAAAGGGTGGGAATATAAGGTAAGGATAAGAATGAGGGAAGGGGTGCGAAGGTAAGGGAAAGAGGGCGTATGGGAGCTATAAAAGAGGTAAGACTCAGAATGAAGGAAATACTAAGAGGAGAGATAAGACAGGGTACTGGATAGGGTCGATATAGATCGTTGCTTCAGGTGTCAACAAAGGTGCTCACGTTACCACCGAAAGCTTTGTCACTCGTTGCAGACTCTGAAACTGTTATTAATTGCATTCAGTGTACCATGATGCAATAACACAAGACAAGGATGCCGGGAAGGGGAGTTAGGTGTGGGGTCACAGGTGTGTAAGAGAGGGAGGGAAGGAGGGAGGGAGGGAGGGAGGGAGGGAGGGAGGGAAGGAAGGAGGGAAGGAGGGAAGGAGGGAAGGAGGGGGGAGTAGCGGGCTTGAGAGGTAGATTAGGAGAGAGATTGCGAGAGGCTGAGGGAAGGGACGCGACTGTGTACGGTCGGTCAGGTAAAACGCCGTGCCCGGGGAATTTAGGATTTTAGGAGGATATGAGGGAGCTCAGACGCAGTGTACCGAGGAGGAGAGGGGAGGGAGGAGGGGAGACGAGGGGAAGGAAGGGGAGTCTGCTTACTGTCTCTCCCCAGAACCTCTCCTCCTTGCACTCCAGCATCTTCGTCGTCGTCTGCTAATACTGATCGTTGTCGTAAAATGATCTTCATCGCCACATTCTTCGTCTTTTATTTTCATTAGTCCGTCCTTTATTTTCATTAGTCCGTCTTTTATTTTCATTAGTCCATTTACCTCCAGATTTTTTGGGGTATTTTTTATATATTAAGTAACTTTTAAAGTGATTATGATTTTGATACCGTACCTTTTGGTATCTATATCTATCACTGCTTAACTTTCCTAATATTGCTTAAAATTGAGACTATTTCCCTGTTGCTACTTAGTTTGCCTTTGGCTTCCGAGCCGGTCCATCACAAACAGACGCACGCACAAGTACACTCTCACGCATGTGAAAACACACACACACACACACACACACACACACACACACACACACACACACACATTTTGATTTTTGGTAAAGAATTGGACTTGCGTCGTTAAAAATTAAATCTTGTAAAAGGCGTCTCGACGCATCATCAATTTGCATGAATTAAGCCGTTGATGGAGGGACTACGTTCACAGGATTTTGAAAATTACTCGCAGAGGAAAGACATTTTCTGAATTGTGTAAGTACCAAGACTATCACGCAAGACTTAGAAAAGGCACATTGGGGAAATTTGGTTCGGGACGCCAAGCGGATGGGCTCGGTCGCCGGCAGACCACGCGGCTGAGAGATGGAAAGAGCGCTTAGAAATACAGGACTGCTTCGATCGAAACAGAAACATGCCCTTGTACTTGCCCGTTACGGAAGAGCAACCCTGGCATGAGCGCAAAATGTAAAGTCGATGTTGGTTATGATATGATATGCTCTGAAGCCAGCGCGTTGCCACAAAGACAAAGCCCGAGCGTGGCGCGGGGAAGCAGTGTCCCACAGAAGGGGGCGGAGGCAGAGGCGGGTCTGTAAACTTCCTGGCGTTAGTCTTGTGTCCGAGACATTTTTCACCGTCGAGATTGACCGTCAGGGTTCAGACAAAATGTTTCGCCGCGCATTGCCACAGAATATTGTTCTCGGCAGAATGTTGGAAATGGGTAACCTACTGGGAAGGAATGCGGGCCGGTTGCCAGCGTGTTGGCAGCGCGTTCGGGGATGATTTGTTTGCGATGAATGCTAAAGGATGCGGGATTACGACGCCACTAAGATTCACTCCACCCGGGCTGAGGAGCGACGCTGCAGCGGCACTGCTTCCGTGCCAAACTAAAGTTGCTCTTGCGCCGGGGGAGCACACGGCCTAAAAGCAGAAGTGGGTCCAGGCCTCCAGTCCCCTTCGAAAAAGGAAATTGTTGAGAGGGGAAGGCAGCGCAGTAGAATATTTTAGAAACGTTTCTTACAAGAGAATAAGCCAAGGAGCCAACGTTATTCTTTAAGGCTTTTTCATAAATTGTGTTTTTGTGCGAAAGAACGTCTGGAAAAATACGGACTTGACCTCTTGGCTTTTATTTGTAAGGGCGGAAACAGAATTGATTTCTCTCTCTCTCTCTCTCTCTCTCTCTCTCTCTCTCTCTCTCTCTCTCTCTCTCTCTCTCTCTCTCTCTCTCTCTCTCTCTCTCTCTCTCTCTCTCTCTCTCTCACTCGTTCACATCTCTCTTATTGCGCCCTTGAATGTTAATGGAATGGGGACAGGATATTGCAGCTGTGGTTCTGTGAAGGATGTCCTCAGAGGCGTGTACCTCACTTCGAGGGGAAAGAGTGAGGTGGAGGACCTTGACGAACTGGAATAGCCGCGTAGTGGAAAAGACTTTCGAATATTCATGGAGAGCAGATAGAAGAAGGAAAGTAGGAGAAGAATAAAAAGAAGAAGAAGAACGATGGATGAGAAAGGAATGGGAATAAGTGTATATTCTGATCCAAGAAATAAGAGTGAAAATGAGGCACCGACTGATGTTCAAAGTTGTCAGAACGAAGAAAGTTGGTTCCTCTCGAGACGGCGCGGGAGAGTGAAGGAGGAAAAAGAGTACTCCCCTCTCCCTGTTACACGTCCAGCGGCGAACGGCGAGAGAAAGGACGAAAAGAAAAGGGAGAGAGAGGGGGAGGGAGGGGGAGAGGGAGACGGAGAGAGAGGGGGGAAGGGAGAGAGAGGGTGGGTGTGGGAGGGAGAAAGGGAGGGAGGATGGGTGGGTAAATGGGAGGTAGGTAGGTAGACAGGCAGGATGGAAGAGAGGGATGGAGGAGAGGGATGGAGGGAAGGAAGAGACGGGATAAAGCTTGGAAGAATGACACAAGCCGGCGAATAGTCATTTTTCTCCGTGGATCGGGGAGACAGGGAAGTAGTAGACTGAAAGAGAAGTGGATGAGAGCGAGACATGCTGGCAGAAATTCGCACCGCACGACATGACATGGAGACTGTCATGCATAGTGACTGGAACGTCATATGCGTGTCGTTGTACGAGGCAAAAAAAAAACAAAAAAAAACAGCGGCAGAGACACACTACGTGTAATGAGTAATGGAAGCTGAGGAGAGAGAGAGAGAGAGAGAGAGAGAGAGAGAGAGAGAGAGAGAGAGAGAGAGAGAGAGAGAGAGAGAGAGAGAGAGAGAGGATTCCGCTCCAGCAGAAGGACTGTGTCAGTGTTCCAGATTTTAGCCGGGAGTTGTCTGGAATGAGAGGCCAGGAATATTGGACTGGTAGAACGAGGGTCTCGAGAACAATGGAAGCTGGAGTGGGATACAATAAAGGAAGCTTGAGCCTGTGTGGTCAGTGGCAGCGAAGTGGTATTGGTTAGACGGTGATATGGGGAAGGTCGTCGTCCGTGGTACGCTGGTCGTGCGGTATGCTGGTCGTTCGGTCGTCGTGGCACAGGGCACCGCGACGGGACGACCGAGGTGGGTTCCCAGCGCGAATTATGAGGGAGTGAAAAGAAGTCAAGAGGAGGGAAATGGAAGGGAAAGAGGGAGAAGGGGTTCAGCGACGGAGAAAAGATTCGACTTGCGTTCGGATGTCGGGGCTGCTCAGGACACTGGTTGTGAGCGCGGAGTTTCGGATTTTTTGTGTAAGAGTAAGACTGGCAAACCGACTGTGTGACTGTGACAGACAGACAGACAGAATCAGGATCAGGTTGGGAATGTCTAAGTTCAATATGTGTTTCTGGGGGTGGGGAGTTCTGTAACGTAATCGTAAGGGGCACAGGGCGTATTCAGGGACTGTTGATGAAGTGGAAATCGTAGTGCTTTGAGAACATACAAGCGAAGGTAACTACGCTCTTACTCCTGCGCATTGTTTTGTTTTGTTTTTTTCTCTTTTTTTGTGTGATTTTGTTTTGTATCGATAGTATTGAAGGTACTAAGATGGCCTTGACACTTGATCAATTTTTCAGATTGTGAGTATTTGGATATAGGTCTGGCACTGCGCTCATAATAAATTGTTGCTCGCAATTGGTGAGAATGGCATGTTTCTGAAAATATGAGTGTTAGCGAAGTTGAGAAAGAAAGATAATAAAAAAGTTAAAGCAATATAAAAATGCTCGTTTCCCCTTCAACGCAGAAAGACAAAAAAGAAGAAAAACTGAAAAAAAATGTTCGGAAGAAGAAAAGAAAAGAAGGGATGAAATGCTCGTTCCCCCCCTTTGACGCAGAAAAAAACAGAAACTGAGAAAAGAAAAGAAAGAAATTTAAAGAAATGTTTGTTTCCCCCTTCGACGCAGAAAAAAAAGAAAATGCTCGTTTCCCCTTTCGACGTAGTGACCACAAACTGACGTCGTTCGCTTAAGTCTCTCTCTTTCTCTCTCTCTCCCTCGAACGTTCCCTGACTCCCTCTTTTACTCATGTGAAACGTTTGTTCTCGCTCTCCGAACGTGCTAGAACGGTTCTACTCTCCGGCCATGTCTGTTCTGTGTCAGCTTCGTGATTTCCTGTGTTTGGCTAAAAGCTTGTGTGCGAGAAGTGAGTTGACATCACGTCATCTTGAGAACTCGTCTCGTGTATGTTTATATTACATAGGGAAGGGCGGGGAAGTAGAGAGACAGAGAGAGGGACGGTGGGAGAGAGGGAGGGAGGGAGGGGGTAGCTAGGTATACTTATGAATTATTAAGGAGAAAGAATAGTCATGCAATACTCGTAAGTACAGATAATTGCTCGTATGAAAACAGCTGTAAAAATGTAAGAATTCCAAATGACATTAAGTGCCTGAATAAGCTGCTGAATCGAAAATTACACGTATGTTGAAAAAAAGCGCCAAAGAGCCATTATCAATTAAAACTGACAAAAAGAAAAAATAGTTGAACATTGTCAAGCGTTGGTATATCAATGAATGACAGGTTTAAGTTGTTGCCTCAGATCTTTTAGAACTAAAATAAAAAGAAACAAAAAAAAGTTGACGTAAAACCACGTTATCGAGACAGAGTATGAATTTCTGAGAGATATAATTCCTTATGAACGATATTATGAATATGTAATTACTGCTAATACTTCTGTTTTAACTCTTGCTGTTGTTATTGTTACTGTTATCATTTTTTGTATGTATTGTTATTATTACTGTCGTTGCCCCTGTGTCTGTTTTGTTGTAGTTGTTATGATGATGATGCTTTGTTTTATTAATATTAGTTATTACTATTTGTTATATTTTCCTTATTATTATCAATATTGTTATTTGCATCATTATTATCCTCATCTTCGTCATCATTATTATCAATCATCATCATCATCATCATCACTAGTAGTTATATTAAATTTGTATTCTCGGCTATATTTTTGACTTTCCTAAGAAAATAAAAAAAGTATTCAGCGTCCATGTGCAGTGACTAGCATTTCCCTCTCGCCGACAAGCGACGCAGACACGCCAACCAGAGATGAATTTTCTCCGTCTGTTCCCAATGTTCGGGCACCGTCGTCGCATGCGGGAGCGGAGACAGCGACGGCGGCGGCGGTGGCAGCGGTAGCGGTAGCGACGGCAACAGCAGAAATATCGAGATGGAATTAGCCAAGATCTTTGGCTGGTTATTAACTCTCATCTCCCAAGGATGGGTCCCGCGTTTTCTCATTTTGCTAACCGTCATATGAGAGAGGACAGATTGGAGGGCGGGCGATGAGGCGTCTCGACGAGATAGGGAGGGGGGAGGCGTCTGAACGAGATAGGGAGGGGGGAGGCGTCTGAACGAGGTGAGGGGGATGAGGTTTGACGGATGATTAAATTTCCTAGGGGAGGGGGGGCGGGGGCCGGGGGTTGACGTGGAGCATAATGAACTGTCATTGTCGAAGAGATACTTGGCTAATGGGCTATATTAGAGATTGGAGTGTATATCAAGTACTCTGGGATTGCAACAGTTGGGAAATCTTTTAATCTCCTTGAGCATAATAAGTGGCTCTCGGTTCTAAAGCGAGACAATGGGGATTATTATTCTCGTTCTGCTAATTATTCTTATTCCGGCTTTTTCGTATCCAGGCATGATTATGATAGTCCAATTACGTCCAATTTCGTCGTTGTCGAGAGGTGATCATTTGTGCGCTCGAAATGTACTCGAATGAAATCTGTAATTATAATCCGATTCGTAATCAGGTGACACCTGCTCCGTAGCCGAACCTTACCTTACTTCTCTTAATTAGCGTATCAAAGGTGAGTCGCAGATGGAGCAGACCTGTTTCAAAAGACCTGCTGCGCCTTTCGACCTATCTATATATTTTTCTTGAACTTTCTCCGTTCTCAGTTCCTTGCTCTCCCTTCCAGCCTCGCTTCCTCTTTTGCTTTTCGACCTCGCCTCCTGCTCTACTTTACGACCTCGCTCTCTGCCCTGTCTCCCGCTCCGCCCTCCGCCCTCATCCTCCGCCCTCTGACATGCGTCTCCCGCCCTATACTCCTCCTGCTCGCCCTCCGCTCTCACCTCCGCTCCAGGTCTCTCTTGTACCTGTTGCTAGGGAAGTCCTTGCAAGTAAGTGGTTTGATGGCGGCCGACTCAAAGCGCTTTTTTCGGTCGCACTGAGCAGAATGAGTGGAGTCTGCGTGGCTGCTCTGGTGCTCTCTCTGCGCCGCCCTTTCTCTCTCTCTCTCTTTCTCTCTCTCTCTCTCTCTCTCTCTCTCTCTCTCTCTCTCTCTCTCTCTCTCTCTCTCTCTCTCTCTCTCTCTCTCTCTCTCTCTCTCTCTCTCTCTCTTTCTCTCTCGAAAATTCCAGTCTGTGATGAGGGTGGGCGGACGTTGATGTTGATTATATTGGTGTATAGAATATGTTGTATTATAATTCCCGCCTTTGGTATGTCTTTGGCAGTTTCGTGCTCTTATCTTCAAAGGAGCAAGTAAAACCTCTCGGTCATGGAGGCGAGTAAATACACGTAACGCCCACTTTGCCCCGTATATTAATTTGGGAAGCTGTGTCCGCGCTGGGCGTTCAGGACCTGTATCACTTTGCCGAAATTATAGCATGGCGTTGCAGTCCTCGCAGATTCAGTCAGATAAGAGGATTCGCTATCGGTGACTGCTTATCGATGTACTCGCGTGTCTGCAGTCAAGTATTCATTTATGTGTTCGTACATACACATATATACGTACGTGCATACACGCTTGCAAACACACATGTAGACGCACACACAAACACGCACACTCTCTCTCTCACACACACACACACACACGCACACGCACACGCACGCACGCACGCACGCACGCACACACACACACACACACACACACACACACACACACACACACACACACACACACACACACACACACACACACACACACACACACACACACGAAAACTCTCTCTATCACTCTGTCTGTCTCCACCGATGTCCCTCCCCCTCACCCCTTACGCGAGGGCGAGGCAGGAGGTGAAGTGGAGGCGGCGGCGGCCTCGTGCCAACAAAGCCTAGGATGAATGTAAATAATCCTCGCCTAGGCCGCGCCCGCCTCGCTAATGACTGCTCCTGACGCCGGCCTGCCTTCCCCTCGCGTGCCTGCCCGTGCTCTCCGCCGTGCGTGGGGGGGAAAGAGGGAAGGAATGAAGGAGGGGGTGATGAGGGTGCGAGAGAGAGAGACAGAGACAGAGACAGATATAGAGACAGAGACAGAGACAGAGATAGACACAGAGATAGACAGAGATAGATAGATAGATAGAGAGACAGACAGACAAAGAGTGTGTGTGTGTGTGAGTGTAGTAGATTCTTTGCTATACTTTCTTGATGATTTTCTAAAAAAAAGTATATATATATTTTTTTCTTGACTCAAGGTCTCTTTTTCAAGTGGATCTTTTACTTACTATTAGATTTGTTTTTTTCTTGTAGCAGCATATATATCCTTAGGGGTAAAATTCAAAAGTACCTGATAACTCAAAGGTTGTACAAAATATGTAATACAAAAAGTATATACAAATAAAACGACTCCCGCTGCGTTCTGCTTGTAGTACAAGATATCTTCAAGACGGTAATTTTGTAATTCAGCCCGTAAGTTGTGCATGAAAAAAGTATGAAAGGACAAAAAATAAGCATAAGCAAATGAACTAAATTTCAAAGTTATTCCACAAAATAGGAGCAACACAAAACAAATAAAAGCTTTTCCATTCCTGAAGGAGGTAACTTACGAGTACGATGAGTGCAGTGAGAGCGAGGCCTGACCCATGTACACACGTACCCTCAGCTATCTTAACACATGTAAAACTTCTGACTACGCTTGCTCGTTTGTGTAATACCAATTGTAGCCTAATTACGGTAGCTTCCGTAACTATGTCAGCACTTGTTACTTTGAATATAAATCCACCGGCAGTGAGAGAGAGAGACAGAGGTAGAAGGTGCGTGAGTATGTATTTGGGTGTGTAAGTACCCCTCTAACTAACTGACTGACTGATTAATAGACGAGACATGAATATTTGATCAAAGGACTTCTTGATAACCAAATAACCTTTACGGAGAAGGGGAAAAAAGAAAGGAAGAGAAAAAAAGATGTACACGTTGACGCTTTTCGCCGCATTTAAGGCCTGCCTCGAGGTAACAGTACTATTTTGCTTTGCCATTTGTGTTGGTTTGTTCAGTCTAAACTACCTCGTTTCTCTCTCTCTCTCTCTCTCTCTCTCTCTCTCTCTCTCTCTCTCTCTCTCTCTCTCTCTCTCTCTCGCTCTCTCTCGCTCTCTCTCTCTCTCTCTCTCTCTCTCTCTCTCTCTCTCTCTCTCTCTCTCTCTCTCTCTCTCTCTCTCTCTCTCTCTCTCTCTCTCTCTCTCCTCTCTCTCTCTCCCCTCTTCTCTCTCTCTCTCTCTCTCTCTCTCTCTCTCTCTCTCTCTCTCTCTCTCTCTCCTCTCTCTCTCTCTCTCTCTCCTCTCCCCCCTCTCTCTCTCTCTCTCTCTCTCCCCCTCTTCTCTCTCTCTCTCTCCCCCTCTTCTCTCTCTCTCTCTCTGTCTCTCTCTCTCTCTCTCTCTCTCTCTCTCTCTCTCTCTCTCTCTCTCTCTCTCTCTCTCTCTCTCTTCTCTCTCTCTCTCGCTCTCTCTCCCTCTCCCTCTCCCTCTCCTCTCTCCCTCTCCCTCTCACCCTCCCCCCTCTCTCTCACTCTCTCTCTCTCTCTCTCTCTCTCTCTCTCTCTCTCTCTCTCAATATCTCTTTCTCTCTCTCTCTCTCCCTCTCAATATCTCTTTCTCTCTCCCTCTCAATATCTCTTTCTCTCTCTCTCTCAATATCTCTTTCTCTTTCTCTCTCTCTCTCAATATCTCTTTCTCTTTCAATATCTCTTTCTCTCTCTCTCTCTCTCTCAATCTTTCTCTCCCTCCCTCCCTCCCTCCCTCCCTCCCTCCCCTTATCTTTCTCCCTCTCCCACTCCCACTCCCACTCCCTCCCTCCCTCCCTCTCTCTCATCCTTTCTTCTTCCTCCCTTTCTCCCCTAATATACATGCAGAAGAGCTTTTATCACATAAAGTAAACTGGTTGATATTCTCCCTTCCTCTCTTTTATCTGGCCCGTGTGTGACCGGTGGGCGGGAATGATGGCTCCTTCAGGCGGAAACCTTTGTCATGTCTGTCTTGTCAGTCCGGTGTATTTTTTTTTTTGTTTTCATGATGTCCAGCGGCATCTGTGAACGCTGGGGGAAAACGCGGTGCGTCCAGGCAGCTGAGTAAGCGGTTGCGTTTCGGTCCGTAGAGAGAAACGTTACGATGTGTCCGATCTGCGGAAGAAACGTTGCGATGCGTCCAGTCTGCGAAAGAAACGTTTCCATGCATCCATTCTACGGGAGGGGGACGTTTCCATGCGTCCGTTCTGCGAAAAAAAAACGTTTTGATGTGTCCGTTCGGCGGAAACAAATGTTGCGATGCGTCCATTATGTAGAAAAAAAAACTTTGCGATGCGTCTGCTATGCTTAAGAAACATTTGGAATGCATCCGGTCTTGTAAGGAAAATTGTTGCTATGCGTCCGGCGTGGCTAGAATTTTTTTTTATGCATCCGGTCTGCTTCAGAAATTGTGAGGTGCATCTTTGTTGGGGAAATGTTTGGGTTGCATCAGGGCTTTTGATCCATGTTCGGTTTGCTGAGGAAATTTTCTAATGCGTTCGGTCAGCTGAGGAAACGTTGCTGTGCGTCTGGTCGTCTTACATTTGCGAATTTTAAATAACTTTGTGTTTATTGCGTTCGCTTACATAGCACCATGCATGACTACACCTGCATTCCAACATATGAGAGAGAGAGAGACAGAGAGACAGAGACAGAGACAGAGACAGAGACAGAGACAGAGACAGAGAGAGGGACAAACAGACAGACAGAGAGAGCAAGAGGAAGAAAGAGGGTGGGAGAGGGAGAAAGATACTAGGTCAGGTGTGTATGTGCAACACATCAATTGTTTTTCTTCATCGTTCAAAATTCGCAGCTTAATATGTGGCTGGTAAAATCATTCATTACTTTTCTCATTTTAGGCGTCCACAAGCTCGACTCGTAGTGGTTCACTGTTCAACCTTTTTCGTTGATTTGCAGCAAGTCATGCAGGTTTTCTCTTGTAGTTGAGCGATTTTTACCCCGGTTCCCGAGTGTGTACCGGTATTAATTTAACTTCCGCTTTGTAATAGTCGTCCATCTCGT